TCACCAGGCCGACGATATATATATATTTATATATATATATTATGTATATATGGCTCTTTCCGTCTTTGCAGACGGTCAATTTAGCTTAAGATGGTCTCAAGGTTTTCTTCATGCAGCTTCCTTCATGGCTAATTCTTCCTATGTTTGAAGCGCAGATTCTGTCGCAGTGCTTGCAGGTCAGTGTCGTAGATCAAAGCTCTGTATTTCCTCTGTTTTCGTTTCGTCGTTGGCGCTTATCAGCCTGTTTGCTTCTAAAGCTGCTCTCTATCATTATAGTTCTTTCCTTTATCATTTTCCTCCATGTTTTCCTGTCCTCAGCTATTTCTTCCCAGAAGCTAACATCTACTCCAAGCTTAGATAAGCTGCTTTTTTAGCTGCAAAAGGAACACGTTGAGTAAAGCTCAAAAGCTATGTATTAAGAACGTAAGCTTAACCAAACGTCGACCTGGTCACCGAGCTAACGAATTGGTTATGTTGATCTACTTTAAAGAACGCATGACACAAAACCTGAAATTGAACAAAGTTAAATAATGTTGGGCCTTAATAGTAAATGTCAACCTTAATTCTTTTTTAAAAGTTGAAAGTTTCTATCGTGAATAGCGTCAAAGCGACCAAAAGGGGGACCCATAGAAAGTGGAGACCCTGGATCTATGTAATAAGTCATATGAGTTCAAAATAGTTTCCGCAAGTTTACTTATATTAACATTTCAGGTTACATAGGCAGGGGTTGACCACAAAATGACGTGGCTGGTGGCGTCAAATAGGTTTTCGACAGATTAGCTTGTTTACAAAAGAAGCTATCCACTTAACCCGTGACTGCAAATTGCCCCTTCCCTCGACATTATGGTGGGTTGAAATGTGATTACAGTTGTCTCCTTTTTTTCTTTAGGGTTTTTTAAATGATGCAAGAGTGAGTAAAAGATAAGGTAAGCAAAGTGATAAGTACATGCATAATCTCAGATAAAGGTTTGGAGGCATACCTTAAGGTCTTCAAACATAATTTTCTCAGCCTTAATTTTACTCTCAGTGACGTCATCGCAAATTTTCTTGTATTTGCCGACCTTGCGAAGTGGAGGGAAGAAAGTGAGGGCTGTGAGAGTCTGTAGGTCAAACATCCTGTTTACTGCATTGTCGTAGCGCTCCATCGTGTCGACGACATCAAGGTTGAGTTTCTCAGGAACGATGTCACCATTGACCTGATGAATTTGGAATAATATAGAGATAGTGAGTATAATATATAGTGGACTACGAGAAAGTATTCAAAGCAGTTGACAGCTCCCATCGTGACAAGTAATGGAAAATTATCGGAAATTATGTGACACCCAGGAAAAACTGCAAGGATACAAGCTGCAAAGCCGTCCACGAAGGTCAGTTTACCAACAGCTTCTAGATACACTATGAGAATGAAACAAGGATCTATACTGTCCCCTTTCTCATTTCTGTTTATCGTCTTTTGGTGTACGAAAACTACCACTATAAGGCACAAAAAAACAGAAATCTAATGGACAATTATGGACACAGCTTGAAGACCTGGACTTTGTAGATGATCTTCCTTAACTTCCAATAGCCACCAAAAGATAACGGACAAAACGAGAGATCTTGTAAATGTCTCATAGATGAAAGTCTTAATGTACATCCAGACAAGACCGACATACAAACGATCAACACCACACTATCAACGATAAGAGTATTAGAGACGAAACACCAGTACAGGGAGTAGCGTTGCAGACAAGTCTTTTTCTTCAAATTGGGGATCTTTTTACTCCCCCCCCCCCCTTTTTACACAATTTAGACCATTTAGGAGGTTGGTTTTGACGTTGGCTGTCAGAACCAGCCAGGTCTGAGAGGGATTCAATATACTTCATAAAAATTCTCCTCACTCAGAAATCAAATTCAAGTTTTCTACGTGTAACGGAGAAGCGCCTAAACACTACTAAAAACCCCTGTCAAATTATAGTATTGAACATTCTGGTAGCCTTGATTTTGTAATAGTAATAAAATCCCGGAAGACATTAAGTAGAACAGACATCAGATCAAAATTTCTATTCAAAATCTTCAAACAAATTACATATGCTAGGTAAAAGTGTATTATCTGACTGTCCCGCTCAATATCAGTCGTAAGACGCACTCGGCAATTATCAGCAACGAGGCTCGAAAGGCAAAAAAGTGACTTTCCATGGTATTTTTGTTTTTTGGATATTATATCGAAAGGTTTATGTCTTCTGCTTCAGTTAAGATATAAATAAACAACTATAATCGACTGTAAACATTTTATTATGATTTATTTTGGAGGTGTGTGGTGTTTGTTGTGAGCTTGGATGACGAGATAAAGGAATTTGGACCTTGCTAGTGTGTAGCTGTGAGATTATTTTTAGAACAATTACCTCATGGCCACCTTTGCTTCAACCAAAGATTCTCCTCAAGTAGAAAATCTTTGCTCTAACGTTCTTCATTCGCAAATATTTTTAGATTTTGACCCCTTTTCGAGCATGAATGGTCGGAAATGTAAACCACTCTGATTGGAGGAACGGAGTAAAAACGGTAACTTCTTGCTCACTTCAAGCTTGTTTACGTAAACAGCTGACTGTGTGGTTGTGCCCTGATAGCTGGTATCGTCTGTTGATCTTTTTGATTTACACTTGGATTGACTTAAAAAATTCGTTTCTATTGTGTTTTAGAGCTTTTAGAAGATTAATTAACCTTCCTCTAGATCTCTCAAAGTGGACCAAGAGGCCACAGAGGCGGTCTATGTGTGTTTGTGTGTGTGTGTTGGTGTGTTTGTGTGTATGTGTGTGTGTGCGTGTGTGTGTGTGTGTGTGTGTGTGTGTGTGTGTGTGTGTGTGTGTGTTCTCGTGTGTTTATGGTACTATTGAAATGTATAATCAGGTAGCGTATATACGGCACGATGATCTGTCGTGGCTCGCGGCCTTCCGAGCGCGTGGTTTCGGTGAAATGAGGTTAATTCAGATCTCTGTTTCTTTGTTCTTTTGCTACAAAACACCAAATGCTGAAAACTTTAAAAAGAGTTCAGATTTACTTCGTTGTAATAGTGTAAGTTGTTTGTATATCCGGGTATTTGGAGCTGGAGAATCGCCGTGGAAAGGGAAGCCCATCGCGGTCGGAATTTGAGGTCCCACGGTTCTAAATTGACACCCATGCATTCGAATGCTTTGCAGAAAGATTGATGATTTTAAAAAATATATAGCATTTGTATAGCGCAAATCCCCGCTCAACAGCAAGCTCCATGCGCTTCACAGTCTATACTATTACACCAGCAGACCTGAGAGCATTCTGAAACAACCTTAACTTCTAGGGAAGCATACAGTGCAAGCAGACATTTATAGGCGCAAAAACACAAACATACTGACAAGATCTTTCGCTGTCTATGGCCGGGTACCCATTCCCACGTGGGTGAAGTGAGGAAAATGTGTGTAAAGTGCCTTTCCCAAGGACACAACGTCGGGCCGGCGGCTCGAACCCCCCGACCTCGCAACCTCACGATTACGAGTCCGGTAGCCTAACCACTAGACCACAGAGATCTGAATTAAACCCATTTCACCGAAACCACGCGCTCGGAAGGCCGATTAAATATCGTCTTTTTATTGGCGGAGAACTATACAGCTTTGAGCGTGGTTCCCTGGGGTTATTATTTTTAGCCTTTTGCCTTTATACAGAACTAACTGGGCCCCATTTCCATGAAAGGAATGATCGATGCATTAACATCAACTGAAAGTCATTGGCCTACTATATTTTTACACTCTACTGGAATTGAGCAAATATTCTTGAGAGATGCAAAAAAATAGAATGCCTAGATCTAGATCTAGATCTATACTCTCAAAACAAAATGCGCCTAGCAAAAAAATCACATCCGCACCGGACTTTGAAAAATTACAAAGACAGAAGCGTCGGCCACAAAAGCGGTCGGCGAAATAAAGAAATTTAGCTTTTTAAAGCAAAACTGTCTCAAAACTGAAAAAATGAAGGGCGCCATGATCTGGAGAATATCTTAAAGAATCTTTTGGCGAAAACCGCATGTAGATCGATCCTGCCATTTAAAAAGCATTTTGAATAGCAAAATTGGGCCACCACAAATAGATAATAGAAACCTTGAAAAAAAGAGTCAAAGTTTTCAAAGATCATTTTTAACACGAAATGTGTAAAAAATACCGGCTTTTAAAAAAGTACCAATTAAAAGAACAGTTCTTTTTCTATTGGAATATAGTCATCGACTTGGAATTATTTTGCATGCATCCTTCCGCGAAACTACCGGGAGCACTTAGCATACTACAGTATTGATCCGTCTCGCTCGTCGCGAAATAACGACAGATCATCGTGTTTGAGGCAATAAAATACTAATTTGTAATGATCTCACAGTCTTGAAAAATATTAGGCTTCATTTCTATTTTATAGTGATTGTACTCTTTTAATGTAGAGGTGTTTGATGCACTTGGTACTCTTTTACTATCTGTCAAACATGGGGTTGCAGCCAGTTAACGACTTCAGCAATATTATGTTAAATTGAAACAGCTGCCATTCTCTTAAACATTGACAGAGAGGTAGAAGTATAGTACCCAAATTTCAGGAGACATAGGCCTTTCATATGAAATAGATGAATTTGACATACGGCTACTTTGAAAATTTAGTATCTGGTACCTAGTATAATGCAAATATTTTACTGCATTTGACGTGAAGTCCATTCTCGTTAAAATTTTGTTTGGTCCATAAGTTTTTCTCTGTGAATGAATAGTTTTCTACTTTTTAATATTACCTTGTAGTGGCATAGTAAAGACAAAGATAGTACATAACAAGATGGGCCACTTCTCTCTTTGAGCCAATTAAAAAAGTGTCCTCAAAATTTGGTGGCCCCCTCTTCACAAAAGCGCACTCTTTGCGAACAGAGTTACCCTACTTGAGTTTTACCAAATCAAAGTGAAACTAGCATGTTTTGGGATAAATTTCGGAAGAACGCTTTTTTTAATGGTTACGCTGACAAAAAACCTCTTCCGAAGGAAAGGGGGATGGTTTTCTTCGTTTAATTTGACTTTAGAATGAAAGGCGAGAGGTCATTAAAATATAAAAAAACCTAAAACTCCGCACTGAACGTACCCGAACTGCTCATGAACAGCAGTCGATCTGCGCACGCAAGGAGGTGCTATTCCTATTCTTCTTCTGGAAAAACAAAAGAGAGCTTCAAAACAGACTGCAGCGCCATCTGAAGCAAAGAGCATACTTCCTGCAGACACTTTTTTGGCTGAGTGGCCCATCTTGTTATTTACTATCTTTGGTAAAGATAACTCCTAAATTTCAAGTCTCTATCTCAATTTTAAGACCCCCATTGCTATGGAAACATGTTGCTCAACTTCGGAGGCCATTTTCTCCTTTTCGTATTTCCTCACCTCGCGCAATTAAAAGTTCTGTATTTTTGTTAAATATTGTCATATTTACTTCATTCTTGTATTAAATTGTAGGGAAAAGGAGAATCAGATAGTTTCTGAAATAAAGTGAACTCAGTTTTGAAATTTCCTTCATATGAGTGATATTGACCGGCAGGGACACATATATTCGAATACTATATGCATATATCGCATTTATTTCTCATGTCCAAAACATAGGATAGAAAGCCAAAAGGAAAAGACTAAGTACCAAATTCTGCTCTGATCAGATTAGAAGTCCAGCGCTGGTACTAACACAATGTCCTGCTGCACCTTATAACCAGTGCACATTGCCGAAAGTTTCGTCAAATCTCATTTTGATATAGGTTGGTTAACTTGAGATCGGCCATCTTTCCAAACACCTGATCCAAACCGAGCATGGATCTGACAAATGAGCATCCGTTTGTCTTGCTTTCAGGGCGCATGTATGGTTTAAACGAATCTGTCAGTTACTTACCAGCACGTACAAAATGATCTTCAGAGATCTCGACAAAATCTGAGGCATGGGTATATCCTGGTTAGTAACTCTAGCAGTATCCATCTCCTCCAGAACGCGGTCAAGCTCTTTACTAACGATGCTCTCAAACTTGTCCACACCATCCCCGTAGATTCCCATTACCTTGTGGAACAAAGTTCTTTTCTGTCTAGTTTGGGAATTATAAGGTGTGAAGAAAAGCTCCTTCCCGTTATACCACGCAAATTCGGACACCACTGTAGGCTCACGGTCAGATGTGAGCAGTTTGTACTCGTCCGAGCCGAAGAGTCTCCGAACAATATCCGACGAGTTAAGTATGCATATAGGTTGACCAAATACAGAGTAGAAACTCATGTCTCCATATTTTTCCGCCCACCCCCAGGCTGCCTCGTACAAAGAGCTTGTAAGATCTCCATAAAACCCTTCCATCCTCGAGGCCCGGGCGGAGGGTTGCCTTTCCTGAACACAAACTGTTTGGACAACACGTAAAGAACACACAGCACAGCAGCAGCAACTGCAAGGGTCCACGTAGTACATAAACAGCAGACGTCCATTTTGACAACAAAATGACGTAGCTCTACAGCCTAGTATCTTTGTACCTGCTGTTCACCTTCGCTTCACTTGTAGAGAAGCTATCAAGCTATGAGCTAACAACCTGATGGTCTGAAGAAACAGGTCTTTATCCTGTATATTCCACGTACCAGTGAGCCGGGATGCTCTGAAAGTATTCAAATCTAGGCCTATGCATGGTGGCTCAAGAAACGGGGAATATGGAATAATTATTCCAGGGGCGTATATTGTTCATAACAGGAAGAGGGTAGGTTCTCTCTCGTGAACACTTTCTAAATTGTATACATTACGACAAAAAGGGATGTAAAAATGTATGATAACCCATTTCTCTTTGAATTCGAACTTTTTAACAATATTTCATTTACCATTGAGGTAATCTACAAAGCGTGACCTCTCCGTTCGAATTACTTGATTTACTTGGAGGCTTTCAAGGAAACGAGTACGGAAACAAACTGAATTTTAGGCGCCAATAATGTTTGTAGGTCAATGTGTATCTCAGTATATCATTTGATGAGTTAACAGTACCTGAATCCTATACTCCCAGATCAGTTAAAACGTGTTCTGTTACGTGGTGTGGAATTAAAGATTGATGTGAAACTGAAACGCCATTTTTTTTAAAAATCAATGTCCTTTGCTTTCTTGAAACTCTCATTCCAATTACCAAATTAAATTAATTCCGACTGATGATTTTAAAGCCTGGTCCTATTTATAGAAATCTTTTATTAAAAGAGCGAAAGGAAATCAAGTTGTAGTTTAACCTCTTCCTCCCCCCCACTCCTCCTCCTCCCCCCTCCTCCTCCTCCTCCTCCTCCTCCTCCTCTTCCTCCTCCTCCTCCAACTCCTTTTCCTCTTCCTCCTATCTTTTTCTTCTCCCTCTTCTTCTTCTTCTTCCTCTTCTTCTTCTTCTTCTTCTTCTTCTTCTTCTTCTTCTTCTTCTTCTTCTTCTTCTTCTTCTTCTTCTTCTTCTTCTTCTTCTTCTTCTTCTTCTTCTTCTTCTTCTTCTTCTTCTTCTTCTTCTTCTTCTTCTTCTTCTTCTTCTTCTTCTTCTTCTTCTTCTTCTTCTTCTTCTTCTTCTTCTTCTTCTTCTTCTTCTTCTTCTTCTTCTTCTTCTTCTTCTTCTTCTTCGCTAGTCTTACACTCAAGTCAAGTGCTCATCATTTCGCATCAACCGGAATAATAATAATAATAATAATAATAATAATAATAATAATAATAATAATAATAATAATAATAATAATAATAATAATAACAAATTACACTTTTATTTGTCCCAGAAGGGCACTTTGTTTTACAATGGCAAACATACATACATAAATACATAATTATAAATACGTACATACATAAATACATACATGCATAAATACATACATAAATACACACTATTACACAAATACAGAACAGTTTACAAACAATGCCACTGTCGGTCGCCACTGTGCAGCGCCCTGTGTCATAAAAAGAGCAGACAGCTAGATGCAAACCAACGAAACTAAAAACTCGGGTAAGATGTCCGCCGCCCCTGAAATACAAGTAATACAGTAAGATTTCTGACGAGTTTCACGCTTCGTTGAGCTCGACAGCTCTTTTTTTAAAAATTAGGCAACGATGGATAATATAGATCTACGTCAGCGAAAGAAAAATGGAGAAGCCAGTGTGATATCGCTTTGTAGAACACAAGGTGTACGGAATCGTATTCTTCGCAATGGAATCTGACAGGTTGCAACTTTTTTTTAGTGACAGAGTTAGGGTTAGGACTAGGATTTGGGCTAGGGTTAAGGTAGGAGTTGAGTTAGGTTGGGGTTTGGGCAGTGCCGGATTAATACCCAGCTGGCCCCAAGGCACACTTCACCGAGTGGCCTGAAAAAGTTAGATATGGTGTAAAATCCTCCCCCTCCCCTCCCAACCCCTTTTACACACACACACACACACACACACACACACACACACACACACACACACACATATCACACAATTGTGCGGTCTGTCTGTGCGTGTGTCTGTCTGTCAGCCAGTCCAACGTATGACAGTATGGAACATGGACAACATACCAGTAAGAGAATGTAACTAAGGTCTCACAACAAAAACATTATGCATTATTATTTCTTACCTAGAAGGCCACTTGACGTGCTTTTGCAACAGCGATTTCATCAACGACTTTGTTTATGTCAACCGTCAACGTTGTGCAGTAAATCGCTTTCAATTGAAAGACATGCTAGCATCCATAGCCTCTGCTGAGACATGGTTGAATGCTTAACGTCTTTAATGCGTTTCAATTGCGAAAATGAATATTCTCCAGTGCAGTTAGCTGACTTTAGAGACAGGTACATCCGCACTGTCTAAATTCCATTAGAAAGTTAGGAGAGAGGTCATGTGGATAGACATTAACAAGTGCTGATATTGAAGCATTGTTGTCTTCAGCTGACATTGAATCACACTCTGTTAAAACACCAAACCGCTGTACTACTGTTGAATAGGTGTCAATTCGCCTGCATAGGGCACTTTTCAGTTGGACCATGATAACCAAGAATGTATTCACTTTGAATTTCTCCTGACCCGACATTTCATCCATCATACTTGCGGCGTCTCCGTCATCTACTGTCCTCCTGTGTACACGTGCTCTCCGACTGTCTGATTTATTTATGCTGCTTCCACATCGGTCACATGCCTTGTCACGGTAATAGACAAACTTTCCTCGACACTCACCTATATATTATGTGTCTAAACTTTTTAACAATCCAATGGCTGGGCTTAGTTCAATAGTTGAACTTTGTAGCAGTTTACTGCAGCAATTGAAACGATGTAAAATGTCATTCCAAAGTTCACACATGAAAGCAACTTCAATAGTGTTCATATAACTTGCAAGTGCGCCAGCTTCGTGCTTCGTGAGACCATTCTGGTCAATATCCTCTGCAATCTCTTGTAGAGCACTTTAGAATTGTTTGTAGCCCCTGAAAACTGTTTCTGTCTCATCAGCCCGGGCAGACCACCGGGTGTCAGATGGGTGTTTTGGGACAAGACATTCAGGATTTTCCTCAACGCGTCGTAATAAAATGTTCCAGCGATGTGTTGACGCAAGAAAAAATTAATACAAGCGCTGCAGGAACTGAAAGAAAGACACAGCTTCCACACAACAATCTACAGCTGATTGACCAACTAAATTTAGAGAGTGGCCTGTGCACGGAATAGAATTGTCCTTGGACCCAACGATTTCTTTACTGGTTCGAAAAGCCAGCCCTCTCTCACAAAGGAAAATGCTTGTCTTAATACAATGCAACAAAATGTTTTTCAATATTTTCGTTATTCCAGTAAGTTTTGGTGCAACCGCTCGTCAACTTCCCCACCAGCAACACTACGTTGACATAAAGTCAAGACTGAGTTTATATGTTTGGGACTTGTCTCGTGTGTTTTTAAATAGTTGGTTATATTCTTCCAATCTGTAAACTCCTGACCAGAAAGATGTACGCGGTCTGGCGAAAACAAAAAGCAAGGGAAACAGAAAACACAGGCTTTGGCTGGAGAATATACTAGCCAGTCACTATCAACTTTTCCATTTGACAAAACACGTTTGAATGCACTGTTATTTAAATACCGATTCACGCCAGAAAAGTCTCGTTTTGTCTCTGGATAGTCACTGGCCAAATTCCAAAACTGGTTTGCTCCGCGAGTTATGCACATTTCAAGCACATCGTCCGCTATGTCACCTAGAAGCCCTACATCATTTGCTATTGTTCCTGAAATATTATCAGTTTCGACTGTTTTAGCATCAGCTAGCTCAGCTTCAGCAGTAGGCTCTTTTTGGTTGCTGTCGATCTGAGACGAAGAAGCTTCACCACCAGCTACCCCAGCAGCTCCAATAGTACTAGCAGTAGTCTTTTCTTGGTTGCTATCGATTTGAGATGAAGAAGCTAAGCTTCTACTTTTCTTTTTAACATGAAAAATTGAAGTCAGTTTTGTTAACTTTTTTAGTTCTTCTCCTTCTATATTCTTCTTCTCCAACTCCTTCGCTCGTTCCCATCCACTCTTTCGTTTTGACATTTCAAGATACTAATCCTAGTAGACACTGAGGATAAGCATGCACAAGAAAAGTACATTATGAAGAAACGTGGTAGGGCCTATGTTGTGGTAGTGGTGGTGGTGATGCTGATGCTGCTTTTGTTGTTGTTGTTTGTTATTGTTGTTGTTTGTTGTTGTTGTTGTTGTTATGTTTTGTTTTTTGCTGCTGCTGCAATGGTTTGCATTATATTATGCCGATTCTGGTCTCTATCAGCATCCTCAATATTGTATATTATAAGTAAAGTACTAGTTCGTGTACTACTACTGACTGAGATCAGAATGCAGTCATACTGCATAGCCACTGTCAAAAGATATCCAGTTGCAGCCAAAGCTGCAGTTTAAAAGACCTTCTCCCACACATACACACGAACTTTCCTGTCTCCCCCCCCCCCCCCTCCCCTGCTCCCAATCCCACCAACTCTCACTTTCCCGTTGGGTTTCTTCATTTTCCAATTAGTATGAAAAATAATTTTTTCGCGTAATTTAACATCTAGTTTTACCGACATATGATAGCATTATTATTGAAAATAACTATTTGGCCCTCTGTTGCTTAGGCTAACAATATGTAAGTCATAAATCATAACTCACAAGGCATTTATAAAGCGCCCACTCCAGAAGATCTGCTCTGAGGTGCTACAATTTGGATCAATTGAATCTTTTCTGGAACAGAAATGTCTTGTCTCAACATTTCCTATTGCTGCTGGCAGTACGTTCCATAAAGATGGGGCTGAAACACTGAAAGCCCGATTTCCGATTTTTGTTCTGGCATTTCTA